CCACACTGAGGGCTACTGGGAGCAACTGGAGGCCACATAGGATATAGTGGGAGGGTCTTGGAGTCACTGGGATCATACTGGTGGAAACTGGAATGTTACTGGGGCATCTGGGAATGACTGGGAAGGACTACGAGCATGTTGAGGGCTCTACTGGGATATACTGGGAGTGTCTGCAACCATGGTGGGGGTGACTGGGACCATACTGGGAGTGACTGGGTCTACGTGAAGGGGAATTAGGACCAGGCTGGGGGCAACTGGAAGGAACTGTGAGTGACTGGATCTACAAGAGAAGCAACTGGGATTGAGTGGGACAGTCAGGAGGGAGGACTGGGATCATACTTGGAGTGACTGGATCTGTGCTAGGGGAAACTGGGAGCAACTGGGATCATACTTGGATCACAGTGGGAGAAGCTTGACCCATGCTGGGAGCAACTGAGACCACACTGAGGGTGACTGGGGTCATACTGGGATCATATCAAGAGTGAGTGGGATCATGCAGGAGGTGATTGGGATCATCCTGGGAGCAACTGGGAGTGCACTGGGGATGACTGGAAGTGGCTGTGAGCAACTGGGATCATGCTGGAAGCTTCTGGGGGCAACTGGGAATGAGTGGGACCACATGGAGGAAACTGGGAGCAACTGGGAGAGAGCAGCAGTGACTGGGATCATCCTGGGACTGACTGGGCGCTGAATCCGAAAAATCAGTCCGAGAAACTGCTCAGAGACTTTTTTCTCTTTAAACAGTAAGGTATTTGTTTCTTCAACGTTGGGAGCAAGCCAGCTCGCGCTGGACAAACTTGCTCCAAGGCTTCACACAAAATCAGCATTTTTATACAATCTTCAGCTGGGATTAAATGCATATTCAAGTGATTCCAACATCTCTCTCTGCAGATTAATAACAGGCGGAGTATAGGTGGAGCTCAGGCGGGGCTTGGGGCGGTGCTTCTCTTGGCCCTCAATCCTGAGGGGACTTCCACTCTTCCTCCATGGCTCTGGGGGCTTCAACTCATCTTCCTCAGCTTGACCTTCCTTCTCTTCCATTGTTCTTGACCCGCTCCCTGAAGCTTGGAAAAAGCCCTGGCTCCCGGCCTATTCCTCCTCTTCCAATGTCTCCCTGATCCTGCTGTCTCTCTAATTTATCCCCTCTAGGCCTAGGACATGTTCCTGTACTATTCTCTGAAGCTTTGCTCCAGTCAGTAGAACAGAACGAGCACAGATGGTCTTGGCTGTTGGGAGCTTGTTAGCAGGCCCAAATTTCTTCGTGAACTCTTTTGGGCCTGGCCTCCTGTTTCACCAGGGACACAGCCCGGGCCCGGGGGTTCCCATTCCCATTCCAGGTGTTTGCATTCCTGTTCCAGGTGTTCCCATCCCATTCTAGTTGTTCCCAACCCATTCCAGATGTCCCCATTCCCATTCCACATGTTCCAATTCCAATTCCAGGTGTTCCCATTCCCATTCCACAGTTTCCAATTTCCTTTCCAGGTGTTCCATCCCATTTTAGGTGTCCCCATTCCCATTCCTATTGTCCCTCCTCCCATTCCTGGTGTTCCCATCCCACTTCTGTTTTCCCCATTCCCAGTTCTTGGTGTTCCCATTCCCATTCCAGGTGTCTCCATTCCCATTCCTATTGTCCCCATTCCCATTCCAGGTGTTCCCATCCCACCTCTGTTTTCCCTATTCCCATTCCAGGTGTCCCCATTCCAATCCCAGATGTTCCCATTCCCATTCCTGGTGTCCCCAACCTGCTCCCAATGTTCCCATTCCCAATGTTCTCATTCCCAGCCCAGGTGACCCCATTCCCATTCCTGTTGTCCCCATTCCCATTCCAGGTGCCCTATTCCCATTCCCGTGTCCCCATTCCCATTCCTGGTTCCCAGGGAGGAACTGCCGGATGCCGGAGGAGGAGTCAGAATTTATTGTCCAAAGCAGGAGATTTTCATACCAAAATAACGCCCGGTGATGTCACCACTGTCCCTGTGATGTCACCACTGTCCCCGTGATGTCACCGCTGTCCCTGTGATGTCACCACTGTCCCTGTGATGTCACCACTGTCCCTGTGATGTCACCACTGTCCCTGTGATGTCTCCACTGTCATTTCCCCTGCTGGTTTACCTTAAAACCAGCACACCAGGTCTGTGCCCAACGGGGGTCCCTGTGGATCATCCAACGCGGGTCCTCCCATGGCTGATGGAGTTGGAGCAGCGGCCGAAGCTCTTCCCGCAGTCGGGGCACTCGGGGCTTCTCTTACCGGTGGGTCCGTTGGTGGGAGGTCAAGGCAGAGCTGTCCCTGAAGCTCTTCCCACACTCCCCACACTTGTGAGGCCTCTCCCTGCTGTGGATGCGACGGTGGGTGTAGAGGGTGGAGCTGTCCCACATTCCCTACACGTGTAGGGCTGTTCCCCAGTGGGGATGTGCTGGTGGCTGAGCAGCTTGGTGCTTGTGCTGAAGCTCTTCCCACATTCCAAGCACTTGTAGGGCCATTCCCTGGTGTGGATGCAACGGTGTTTGCAAAGGCTGGAGCTGTCCCTGAAGCTCTTCCCACACTCCGCACACGTGTAGGGCCTTCCCCACTGTGGATCATCTGGTGGCGGAGCAGGATGGAACTCCGTTTGAAGCTCTTCCCACATTCCCCACACATGTAGGGCCTTTCCCCACTGTGGATCGTCTGGTGGCTGAGGAGGTGGGAGCTCTGAGTGAAGCTCTTCCCACATTCCTCACACATGTAGGGCTTTTCCTTACTGTGGATCATCTGGTGTCGGAGCAGGGTGGAGATCCGATTGAAGTTCTTCCCACATTCCTCACACATGTAAGGCCTTTCCCCACTGTGGATCATCTGGTGACTGAGGAGGTGGGAGCTCTGAGTGAAGCTCTTCCCACATTCCTCACACGTGTAGGGCCGTTCCCCGGTGTGGATGTGCTGGTGCCTCAGGAGGTGAGCGCTCCTGCTGAAGCTCTTCCCACACTCCGCACATGTGTAGGGCCTTTCCCCACTGTGGATCATCTGGTGTCGGAGCAGGTGGGAGTTCTGATTGAAGCTCTTTCCACACTCCCCACATGTGTAGGGCCGTTCCCCACTGTGGATGTGCTGGTGGCTGAGGAGGTTGGTTCTCTTGCTGAAGCTCTTCCCACATTCCAAGCACCTGAAGGGCTTTTCCCTGCTGGGAGGCTGCTCAGGGACCACCAGCTCGCAGCTCCGCCTCAAGCTCCGGCCGCCTTCCCGGCACACGCTGGCTCTTTCCTCCTCACAGCCCCCTGGGCTGGCTTTGGAGCCCCTCCTGCGGGGGCATCTCCGGCCCTTTTCCTCCCCGCTGCCTTCCTGCGCCGGGGAGCCCTTCAAAACGGCCTCTCCCACCAGGCTCTGCCGGGGGGATTTGTCCTCCGCGCTCTCCGGCCTCACCTCGGGGCCTGGGGCAGGAACCAACAAGGACACGCAGGGGATTTGCCTCCGGCCCACAGGGAAGCCCAAGGACATCCCCCCAACTCCGGCCCCGGCAGGACGGCCACAAAAGACAAAAGACCCACCCAAAGGGGCACTGACTTCCTCCTCACCTGCCTGGGGGGCCCAAGGCATCTTCCTCTTCCTCGCAGCCTCCTCCTCCATCCGCCCAAGCTTTGGGAAGCAGAAATCCTGATGGGAAGGGGGGAAACAAGGGGTGAGCGCGTTGCCTTGGGGGTTCCTCCTGCCCAAGTCCAGCTCTAGGACTCACCGGGCATCTTGTGCCCATAAAAACCCCCCAAAACACCAACAATCAGCCCAAAAACCCCTCGCAGGAGTTCCCCCTCTCTGCTTTCTGGGGTTAGGGGGGTCCCCCCTGTCTGGTCTGATGGCACTTCTGCCTGCATTGGGGGTCCCCCTTCTCTGGGCTGCCGGGGGTCCCGTGACTCAGGGGTGTTCCCACTCTCCGGGGTCCTCTTTAGTGTTGCCAGGGGGTCCCAGGGCTCACTTCTCCCCACTCTGCCTCCCGGGGCCGGCCGGCCCTCCTCTCTCGGCTCCCATCCTCACAAACCTCTTGGCGCTCTCGGCTCCCACCCCGCCTCAAGGCCCCCCCTCCTCTCCACACTCCAAGGCCTTCCCCCTCTCCGGGACCCCCGCTTAAGGGGCCCGGCGCTCCCTCTCTGCTCCCCCCCCTCCAGCATTCCGGGGGTCCCCCAGCTCCGGGATCGCCCCTCTCCGCTCTCCCCACTCCGCGGCTACCGGGGTTCCCCCCCGGCTCTCACGGGGGCCCCCAAACCGCTCTCGCCCCCCCCGCCATTGCCCAGCCACCGCCAGGACCTTTTGGCTGCTCTTCTTTGTGCTCCCGCTCGGCTCCTCCCTCGGCTGGGCCGCCGCTTTTGGCGGGTTTCCTCCTCCGGGATCCACCCCCTGCAGCCCTTTCACCCCCTGGCCCAGCCCCCTTGGGCCCCCTTGCGCCCCCCTTGGGCCCCCCTTGCTCAATAAGTCTGATTATACAGACAAGCAATTGATTTTAACCCACAAAACCCAAATGTAGAACCCAGCACCCTGGGCCATGAACAAAGTGCTGTTCCTTGGGTCCCCCCCGCGTCCAAAGTAAAGGGAGAGGGGAAAAAAACCTGCTGGTGAGAGAGCTGTTGCAGTCTGGTCAAAAGTGGTGATTGCAGTCCAGTTGAGGGGGGTGGTCTCAGGCTGGTTGAGAGCGGTGAGCTGCAGTCCTCCTCTGGATCCCACGAGTGGTGGAAAGGTTCTGAAACTCCAGGTTTATATATTCTCCAGTTCAGGCAGGAATGCCCAGTCCTCCCCTCACAGTGGGCAATTCCATAAAAGGATGCTTAGTTTTTCTTTCAGAGCGGGCAATTCCATAAAAGGATAGGAGGATGCTCAGACCATGAAAGCATATGAGGGTGCTCAGGACATCCCCCCCACCTCGCAGGCCTCTCCTGACAACAGTTCCTGGGAAAATGGCATGGAAGGCCAGAGAATCCACAGTTTTGGGCTACACCCATCCAGTGAGGAATCGGTCCCAGCTGTTCTAACTAGGACACTGTGTCAGTCATCGCTGCCATCATCATCATCATCGGCCTCCTGGGAGTCGGTGTCTGGAAGCTCCGATACGGTAACTCCCGGGATGGGGGTCGGGAAGGGGCACGGATCCGCCCGGCAGCATTCCAGGGATCCTGTGCCATGGGTGCTGATCCCGCTTTCTTTCCATAGGGAAGAGGGAGGGGAATGGATACGACCCCGCGCCCACCAGTGAGTCCCAGCAGCGGGTGTGGATCCAGATCCTCTGGGCAGGGATCCCAGGATGGAGGCCGGGATTCCAGAGGGGAATGGGGGCCTAATGGCTGGAGTGGGATTGGAAGGGGATTCCAGCTCAGGGCAGGATTCCAGAGTGGGATCGGGTGGAATTGTGGACTGGGATCAGGACTGGATTCTGGAGTGGGATTGGGGTGGGAAGGATGAAGTGGGATTGGGGTGGGATGGACAGAGCAGGATCAGGTGGGATTCCAGAACAGTTCCTACTCTCCCTGGACTCCACAGCCGGCTCCATCCCCTGGGATGGGAACAGGGACATGGTGACTCCTTTCCCCACTCTCATCCCAGCAGGAATCACGGCCTGAGCAATCCCGGAGCTGGATCCACCCCTTCCCTCTCCCTGCGGAAAGGCAGGAGCTGCTGGCAGAGCTCATCCCGCTGCTCCCACCCACCCCGGCCCCCCTGCGGCTCTTCCCAATGGATCAACTTCTTACTTTTTCCCGTGTGAAACCCAGGACCGCAATTATTCCGGAGGCTTTAATTTGGGTGTGAAAATCTCCTGCTTTGGGCAATAAATCCTGGCTCCCTCCTCCGGCATCCGGCAGTTCCTCTGTGGGAACCAGGAATAGGAATGGGGACAGGGGGGAATGGGATGGCGACACTGGGGACAGGGATGGGGACACTGGGAGCAGGTTGGGGACAGCAGGTATGGGAATGGGAACTCCAGGAATGGGAATGGGGACATTGGGAGCAGGTTGGAGTCACCAGGAATGGGAATTGGGACACGGGGAATGGGAATGGGGACATGGGAGACCAGGATAGGGATAGTGGGGACAGGAACGGGGACCCTGGGAGCAGGTTGGCACAGCAGGAAGTGGGAATGGGGAGAGGGATGGGAACCCCAGGAATTGGAATGGGGAGAGGGCTGGGAACCCCAGGAATGGGAATGGGGAGAGGGATGGGAACGTGTCTCTCCAGGAGTTGGTTCAATACAAAGGTCGGTCCCTGGCTCGAGGCCACGGGAAGCCCCTTCTTTGGGAATGTCTGGGAAGCAGGTGTCAGAGGTTTGAAAAGAGGTGTTGGAATTGTTTCCCAGTGTCCCCCCCATTGCCATCTGTGTCTCCCGGGATGGGGTGGGTTGGAGCGGAGCCGCAGGCGCTGGGCAGGGGCAGTGGGGGGAGGGCGGCTCTCGGGGACACCGCGGTGGCCGCGGGGAGGGCGGGGGGTCCTTTGTTCGGGGGCTTTTGGGGTTTGTCCGGGACCGGACAGAGCGGGAGCTGATTTTGGCCACCTTGTTCTCTTTTCCTGAGAGGAAGTTTTTTCCTCCCGGGACACCTCGTGGAGAGCGACCGAGAGAGAGAGAGAGAAAGAGAGAGAGAGAGAGCCCGACCCATCTGGGAGCGAGGTGTTCTGCTTTGGGGACTGCCCCTGGGAAAAGGGACTCCTTCACTGCTGGCTGCGAGCACACGGGGCTGCCAGAGCTTTGAACTGCCGGGACAGTTTCTCCCCCCACCTGGGGATTTGGGACTTTCTTTGGTTTCTTCTGAAAGTTTTTGGTTGCACCATTTGTTGTTTATTCAGATTTTGTTAATAAAAAGCTGTTTCTTTTCCTTTTCCACACTTCCACCTGAAGTGTCTTAATTTCTAAGTTGTTCTAAGCCCACGGACCCCCCCCGAACGCCCAAGCCCCGGGGCTGCCGCGGGGGCCCCCAACGGCCCTCAGCCAATCCCAAAGCGCCCACGCCACCCGCGCCCAATCCCAGCGCGCCGCGCTGATGACTCATCAGTCGCCGGGAAGACGCCTCGAAAAAAGGGCCCCAACTGCGCCCTCAGCCAAGCCCAGCGCGCCCCAAACCCCCCAAAACGGCGCCGCCCGGCTGGTTTTGGGCTGTCAGCAGCTGTCCGGCGCTGGGCATGGAGCGTGTGCGGGGAGCTGGGGCCGTGCTGGCGGTGCTGGTGGTGCTGGGAGCCCCCCCGGCTGTGGGCGAGGAGCTGTCGGGTGAGTTGGGGGGGCGGGAAGGGTGTCAGGTGGGAAAGGGGGGGAAAGAGGGGAGAGAAGAGGGGTTGGGAGCCCCAAAAGTGAGTGGGAGGGGGGTCAGAAGGCCTACAGTGAGTGGGAGGGTGGTGGGAGCCCCAAAGTGAGTGCGGGGGGTCTGGGGATTTTGGGGCCGGTCGGAAAGGGGTGGGAGAGGGGGGCAAGGGGGTGTGGGAGAGCAGGCAGAGGGGTGCCCTGGGGGTCCCCGGGTTTTCCTTGATCCCTGGAGCGGTTCCCTGGGGCTCTGGGGGGATCGGATCGGCAGTGGGGGGATCCCCAGCCCCCCTGTCCATCCCCGGGGAGCTGATGGGGGGGTTCCTCCCCTGCCAAGAGCCGGTGCTGGGGTGTCCATGGGGCAGAGGGGGGTGGGAAAGGGGGGTCCGGGGTGGCCCCCTGAGCTGCCAGCCTGCTGTGGGGGGCTGGAGGATTATGGGTAGTGGGGGAGGGACGGGGCACCCCCTGACCCGTGTCCTGCACACACAGGGGTGTTCCAGTTTATGGTAAAGTCCGAGTGTCATGTCATCAACAGCACCAAGTGGGTGAGGTACGTGCTGAGGTACATCTACAACCGGGAGCAGTACATGCACTTCGACAGCGTTTGGGGGTCTATGTGGGGGACACCCCGCGTGGGGAGAAGATTGCCAGGGACTGGAACAGCAACCAGGTATGGATGGAGATCATGTGGGATTCTGTGCAAACATACTGCGGGTACAACTACGAGGTGTCCACCCCGTTCCTGGTGAACCGCAGAGGTGAGCGTGGGGCAGAGCGGGTCCCCTCGGGCCCAGCCCCGGGAATGACCCTGGAACCCCTCAAACCCTCCCTGGGAATTACGCCAGACCCCTCAGCCCCCCATGCGCCTCTCTCGAGTCCTTTTGCCCTATCCCAGTTCTTCCCAGTCCATCTCAGTCCATCCCAGTACCCTCCAGTGCTCTCCAGTCCACCCCAGTCAATCCCAGTCTCTCCCAGTGCCCCCCCGCATCTCCACCCCGCTGGGGCCACCGAGCTCACGCCCCTCAGCCAATCCCAGCGCGTCTCTCTGATGACGCTCCAGTTGCCAGGCAGACCCAAAACAAAGAGTTTCCTCCCAGTCCCGCTCAGTTCCTTCCCAGTCCAGCCCAGTCATTCCCAGTCCATCTCACTCCATTCCCAGACCCTCTCGATCCACTCCCAGACCCTCTCACTCCATTCCCAGTCGTTCTCACTTCACTCCCACATTTCTCAACTCTCTCACCAGTGTCCCCCCAATCCAGCCCCTTCTACCTCAGTCTATTCCCAGACCCTCCCAAGGCCATCCAAATCCCTACCAATGTCCTCCAAGCCCTCTCCCCTCCCTCCCAGTGCCCCCCAGCTCAGCCCAGTGTCTCCCCCGTCCCTCCCAGTGCCCCCCAGCGTGTCCATCTCGCTGGTGCCGTCGAGCTCCCAGCCCGGCCCCGGCCGCCTGCTCTGCTCCGGGATGGATTTCTACCCTGCGCCGGTGCAGGTGAGGTGGTTCCAGGATGGGCAGGAGCTGCCGGAGCACGTGGTGGCCACCGACGTGGTCCCCAACGGGGACTGGAGCTGCCAGGTGCTGGTGATGCTGGAAATCCCCCCCCGGCACGGGGTCACCTACAGCTGCCAGGTGGAGCACGTCAGCCTGGAGCACCCCCTCAGCCGGCACTGGGGTACGGCCCGGCCCCCCCAGCACCGGGGGGGCAACTGGGGGTGACTGGGAGGGAGTTTGGTGGGTGCTGGGGGTGATGGGAGGGGGGTTGGAGGGTCCTAAAGGGTCTGAGAGGGGCTGGGTGGGATCCCTGCAGGGGCTGGGAAGGGACTGGCAGGAGGTTGGAGGGACCCCCGGGTGGGCTGGGGGAGAGCGGGCCGGGCTCTGTGGGGTGCCGGGGGGTGCGTGGGAGGAGGTTTTGGGGGTGCTGACCCCCCGACTCCCCCCAGAGATGCCACCGGACACCGTCCGCAGCAAGATCCTGGTGGGGGTCGGGGGTTTCGTCTTGGGCTTGGTCTTCCTGGCGCTGGGGCTCGGCTTCTACCTGCGGGAGAAGGTAAAGGGGGGTCCCCAAATGGGGGTCGTGGCCCCCCCCTTGCTCTCCCACAGCCTCTGGGTCCTCTCTTCCCCCCCAGCCCCTTTGCTCTCACCCCCTTTTCTCTCCCCACAGAGCTCCTGAGCCGCCGGCGGCCGCAGCCCCTCCCCGTGGCCTCGGGCCCAGCCAGGACCCCCCAGTCCAGCCCCACCCACACTTTGCGGGGGTCGTGTGTGTCCCCAGCCCTGCTTTTGTTTGTATTCAAACCTCAGCTGGCTGCTCCCAGTGATCCCAGTAAAGCTTCCCGGTTCTCTGCAGTCCTGATTATTGGTGAGAACTGGAGGGGCTGTGAAAATCCCAGGAACGGGCAGTTTGGGCACTCCCAGACAAAAAGAACCCTGGAGAAAGGTGGTTTGGGCACATCTAGAGCTCAAAAATCTGGGGAACAGGGGATTTGGGCACTTTCAGCTCCTCAAATCTTGGAAAAGAGGAGTTTGGGCACCATCAGTGTCTGAAAAGCCCAGGAATAGGGAGGTTGGGAACATTCATACTCCTAGAAACATGGGGATCTGGGCTCTCCTAGACCCTAAAAATCCCAAGGACAGGGTGGTTGGGGCACTTCCAGACCCAAAAATCTTGGAAAAGAGGGGCTTGTACACACCCAGACTCCATCAAAATCCCAGGAACTGGGGGTTTGGGCACAATCAGGGTGACAAAATCCTGGGAACAGGGGGCTTTGGGACATGTCAGCCTCCCAGATACCCAGGAAAAGGGGGCTTGGAAACATTCAGAGCCCGAAAAACCTGGGAACTTGGGGTTTGGGCAATGTCAACCTCTCAATAACCCCAAGAAGAGATGGGTTTGAACTCTCTCAGCCCCCAAATATCCTTGAAAAAAGGGATTTTGTTTCTCCCAGACCTGCAAAATTGTGAGAAAGGGGGGGTTTGGGCATACTCAGAGTCCCAGAATCCCAGGAACAGGGGTTTTGATCACTCTCGGCTCCTCTAGTCTTGGAAAAGAGGGATTTGGGCACCATCAGTGTCTGAAAAACATGGGAACAGGGGGGTGGGGAACATTCAGACCCCTAAAATCTTGAGAACACGGGGGTATTGGCTCTCCTAGACCCTAAAAATCCAAAGGACAGGGGGTTAGGGCACTCCCAGAGCACAAAATATTGGAAAAGAGGGGTTGGACACTCCCAGACTCCAGAAATCCTGGGAACATGGGGGTCTGGGCACACTGGGACCCACAAAATCCTAGGAACAGAGGTGTTTGGGACAGGTGAGCCCCTCAAAAACCGGGGAACGGGGGGCTGGGACACACCCAGACTCCGAAAATCCTTGGAACAGGGGGGTTTGGGCAATGTCAGCCTCCCAATAACCCAGGAATGTGCGTTTTAGGTCTCCCAGCCCCAAAAAATCCTGG